TACTTTAGAGGATAACAGATCTCCTCTCCACACACACACACACAGCAAATGCAGAGCTCAAAAGGGGCCCAAGATACTTACGGATCCCTGGATGACAGATAACATGGGCAAGTTCAACAACTTGCACATTAAAGGCCTCTCTGAACAAGAACATCTAACATCACTCACTGAACCTTTTAACCTGTTTTTAGGCAGAGCGCCAAAATACACAGATATAGACAGGGCACACAGAGCCCTAAGGCAGACAGCCCCCCACTCAGTGAGGGATATCTTCTGCTGTATACATTACTTCTTCATGAAAAAGGATATCCTCTGAGCACCCAGACAGACCTCACAACCATTACTGTTCCATAATGCCCCAATCAAAATCTACCAAGACATATCCTATGCTATGCTTCAAGGGAGGTGGACATTATGGCACCAACCAATTAAGATTGAGAATATCAGATACAGATGGGGATTTCCCTTTGCCTTAATCACAACTCACAAGGGCACTTCACACTGGCATCTGTTCAGGATGTGCTCTTTCAACCACCACAGCCCTGGCTCCAACAACTCTCCCAACACCGTCCAAGAGAGGAATGACCAGAGAACCACCAAATCAGAGATGAGCGAGAAGTGCCCAATCCTCTACATAAACCCTACAGACGCCCACCACCAGAGATTGGGCTCCTACAGATCAACCTTTGTGCTATTTTAGGGGTCACTGCGATTTTTGGTAATTATTAGACATGTGCAATTCGTTTTGGTCTATATGAATTCGGATGTATTTCCCAAACCCTAGTCAACCCCCCCCCCCCAAAAAATTTTTTATCCCCCTACCTAACCACCTCACCCTAAAAATAATGAGGGGAGGACCTTTAACTAAGTACCTGTAAAAAAATAAATAAAACTTACCATTCAATGTTTTCTTTCTTCTAAAATCTTCTTCCCAAAAAAGGCCAAATAAATAATAATAATAACCGACGCAATTAAAAAAAGAGTGCAAAAAAAAAATATCCATCTTCACCTATAGAGGGCTCCGCACAGACTGAGCTCTGCAGGGCGGGGGAAGGCTTATAAAGCCTTGCCCCGGCCTGCAATTAGGTTAAGAGCACCAATCAGAGTGCTCTGACAGGTAAATGAATCGACTGAAAGGTAAGGTTTAAAATCCACCAATCAGAGTGCTCTGTGTCATTTTACACCATGGGGAAAGTTCTTTGGAATTTTCCCACGCTGTGTAATTTGACACATAACTCTCTGATTGGTTAGTTAATCAAATTGGAGGCACACTGCTGAGATCATTAAGTTGAAATTATATTCCATTTAATAATTCTGAGGCGTTGCTTTTTGTGCAATTCATGCAATATTAATCTTGATATAGAAAAGAGTTTTGTATTGAGGTTAAATCAATGTGTAGAAATATGGCTGAATCCAGCACTTCATCTCAATCAGAGAATGGGAAGAAGTTATTAGATATGCAAGTTTTTCCTTTAAGCATCTTATATAAGCATCTAAAGATTAAAATGGATTATAAAGAGGGGGCACTCCAAATTAGAGAACAAGTTTATAATTCGATTCATGATAGATCGGGTAATTCACCTATGGTTAAACATTTTAGCAACATAGACAAAGACTCTACAATGCAGTCTGTTACCAAATCATGCCTGTTTTTCATATTGGGTTATTCAATTATGTTAAAAAAGCATAATGAGATAGAACTTAAATTGGACGAGTGTCAGAATGACCTAGTGCTCGAACAAAGAAGGTTCAACACTTTGTCTGATGAAAATAATATCCTTCAGGCTAAAAACTCTGACCTTTCAAATAGACTGGAAGGAATGAGCAAAATGATGGATGATTATGAACAGCAGATAAACCAGAGACTGATACAGTTAGATGAATATCATCAAGAAAGTGAAAAACCAATGGGAAAAGACCCAGGCGATTCTTCTCAATTCCCTGATATTCGCAGATCAGACCAGGTTTCCCTAAAACAGTCTCAAAGAAAAGATGTGAGTAATTCTGAGAAATCACCTGTGGAACAAGATTCCCCATCTCGAGACATTGCCAAACAACCCTGGCAATCTTGGGCAGAACAGTTTGAAAAGACTGTCTTGGCCAAGCTTGAGAGGGAGAGTCCAGTTCAAGGTGATGGGAGTGAAAGTGATTGCACTGTCCACTCTGAAGGCCATGTGACTGATATGCCATCTGCACTCTTGTACGGATCTAATTCCTCTTCAGCAGCCAGATCGCAGAGACCAAAAAGAAAGGAAAGTAGAAACGATCGTAAATCAACGACACCTTTCTTTGAAACGCCAAAGATCATTAAATTCCTCAAAGAGACAGTCCCACAATTTTCTAGAAGTTCAGGAAACATATCTGAACATCTGGAAAATTATGAAAGAGCCATGAATTCATTGGGCATGTATGTTGACATCCAAAAGAAATGGTTCATCACGTGGACCATTGATTCAATGTGCCGTGTTTATATAGAAAGTCTTCAAGCTATACAGCTAATGTCCTGGTCCAAGATGAAATATGAAATAATCATGGAATATGGTAAGTATAAAACCATTGCTTCTGCTAAGAAAGCACTTTATAACTTAAAGTGCCGTCTAGATCAAAGCCCCAGAGAATTTTTAATAATTCTTAAAAATGCATATTCCGTGGCCCAAAGGAAACCCAGGTATGAAACTACAGACTTCAAAGATCTGTATTTTCATGCCATGCCGGTAAACATACAAATGAATCTCGCAAGAGATTATGATTGTAAGTTACCATTAGAATGGCTAGCCAGTCAGTGCATGAAATTGTATACTATACACATCACGAAAATCAGCTAAAGGTTAAGAAACCTGGTGATAAAATGGTGTCAGAGACTAAAATTCAGTTATGTTTAGAAAACCAACAGAAAAAGAGGACCTATTCTCCAAAACCTCAGAAACAGGCAAATGCATAAGCAATACTGTTAATTCCTCTGGTAATAACTCTGAAAAGTCCAATGCCAATGGGAATAAACGCCCCTGGGTTAATAAGAACCAAGGCAATTCCCAATGGAGAAGGAATCCTCAGGGAAATAGGAGATATGGAAACAGAAATAACCAATCTGCTTCCAATAACTCCCAACAGTCTCAGCCATCCCAGCCTAATTCTAATGGACAAAGACAAAACGGCAATGGGGGAAATAATTTGCGTCGTCATGTTGGTCAATTGACAGACCAAATTTTTGCAACACTTTGCAACACCTAAATCAGAATAAGGGGGGGGGGGGACCTAATGTCCTAATGTCCTCCCCCCTGGCCCACACCCCTGAGCGGCGGGTGGGGCCCCTGATGTAAAATAGTGGGCCCCCACCCTGATGTATTGCCCTCCCCCCGGGCCCCCACCCCTGAGCGGTGGATGGGGGCCCTAAAGCATTTGCAACACTTACAACAATCAAGTAACACACATTCCTATAAAATGTAAGTTACTTAGCCAGTCAGTGTAATGACAGGAATGAATAAGATAACTCCCTAATTCCCACGTGTGACAGACCCATCTGTATGACTATTCTTCGTGGATTCATCTAGTTTGCCTTTCTTTCGTGGAAATTGCCTGTTTCTATAGCCCATGCGTACGAATGACTTTTTTACCGAACAAATCTACCGAACGGTCGGCCACCCAGAATAGAAGTGTGCTGCTGGTTAACCTCTTGATCCCAATTAGAACGTTGTGGTTAACCGCAGACACTTCTCAATTAAAACCGAATACAGGGTGGTCGTCATTCGCATGTCGACCACGAGGCAGCGGACATTTTAGATCGCACGAAAGACCAGCAGTGTTTGGCATTGATTTCATGGAACTAAAAACGAACACTTTTTCTGCCAAACACCGCTGAAACAACAGGTCACCCTTCTCCATCGACGAAAGCATGCGAACACCGGCCGTTCGGGAGTTTTGAATTACATGAAGAGACTTAACCCAGATAGCCTTCCCATGGAGTCAATCGCATACCGAAAGACAGTCAAAACTTTGACTCCATGGCGATTGAACTATGTGTATGGGATCTGAGCGCTATTCGCTAATAATATGCCCTCAGATCCAGGCTATCTGGGGATATGTGATGCGAATGTAAAATGTTCGGTACTTGTGTAATTATTTATTTTTGTGCGTTTTCTGGTATTTTACTTAAGATGGTGATGTGTCTTTGTCCTGGAGATAATTGAATTACTTCTCAATTATCTCCAGGGCAGAGGGGAGGAAACCATATTGCATTGTGGGAAAAAATTGTGCCTGTATGTCAGAAAAGTCCATGTGTCCATCTGCCATCACAGTCTCCCATTTGGTCCCCTAGGGGAGTGTCCACCAAGTGGGAGAACTGCATAAATACGGGCGGGTAGCCCACAGTAAAGCCAGATCCTGTTTGGTCTTGTTATTGGGGGGATTTATTACCGACGACTAGAGACTGACTGCTGGAGCCGAAAGCCGCTTGGTGGATATATTTGTTCGGCGGTTAGCAACGGTTTGTGGATTTATGTTCGGGAGTTTGGAACCGCTTACGGATCCCGTTCGGGAGATTACCGCTTCCCCTGATGGTGGTTCATATATAGCATACTATGCAAACGGAGATAGTGAGATTGCGAAGGGGGAAGCTTAACTAAACGGCGGTTTCCCTCACAAGCACCAGAGGTGTCTTACACCACGGTATTAGAGAGCTATCTACTAAAAGGCTGAAAGACCCACATTGGTCTTTCAGCCAAATTTACTAATACTAAGTAAAGATTACTTAGAATTAGTAAACTATGCCCCTACTCGCTATACCGCAAGTAGGGGCATGTTTATTAAACAGTGAGCAGGCTGCTCACGGTAAAAAAAAAAAAAACCCTGAGTGGTGAGTGGGGGCCCTAAATCAGAATAAGGGGGGGACCTAATGTCCTCCCCCCTAGCCCCCACCCCTAAGCGGCGGGTGGGGGTCTTGATGTAAAGTAATGGGGTGGACCTATTGTCCTCCCCCCGTGCCCCCACCCATTATTTTACAATATGTCCCCCCCATTATTTTACATCAGGGCCCCCATCCACCGAGCAGCAGGTGGGGGCCCTGATGTAAAATAATGGGGGGGGACCTAATGTCCTCCCCCCTGGCCCCCACCCCTGAGCGATGGGTGGGGACCCTAAATCAGAATAAGGGGGGGGACCTAATGTCCTCCCCCCTGGCCCCAACCCCTGAGCAGCGGGTGGGGGGCCTGATGTAAAATAATTGGGGGGGACCTATTGTCCTCCCCCCGGTACCCCACCCCTGAGCGGTGGATGGGGGCCCTAAATCAGAATAAAGGGGGGGACCTAAAGTCCTCCCCCCTGGCCCCCACCCCTGAGTGGTGGGTGGGGGCCCTAAATTATAATAAGGGGGGGGATAAGGGGACCTAATGTTCTCTCCCCTGGCCCTCACCACTGAGCAGCGGGTGGGGGCCCTAAATTGGAATAAGGGGGCGACCTAATGTCCTCCCCCCTGGCCCCCACCCCTGAGCGGCGGGTGGGGGCCCTAAATACCAATGGGGGGGATCTATTGTCCTCCCCCCTGGCCCCCACCCCTGAGTGGTGGATGGGGACCCTAAAAAAAGTTAATATCCCTCCCAGGTGTCCCCAAACCCCTAGTCACCCCTCCTCCCTCCAAAAGAATTTAACCCCCTACCTACCCCCCCACTCTAAAAATAATGAGGGGGGGGACCTTTAACTAAGTACCTGTAAAAAAACTAAAACTTACCATTCAATGTTTTCTTTCTTCTAAAATCTTCTTTTTTCAGCCCCAAAAAAGGCCAAATAGAAAACCATAACCAACGCAATTATAAAAAAAAAAAAAATCTCCAGCTGGCGAGGGCTCCGCGCAGACTGTGCTCTGCAGGGCGGGGAAGGCTAATAAAGCCTTACCCCGCCCTGCAATTAGGCTCGGAGCACTCTGATTGGTGGGTTTAAGCCATCCAATCAGAGTGCTCTGACAGGTAAGTCTCTACATTTACCTGTCACAGCACTCTGATTGGTTGGTTTGAAATCCACCAATCAGAGTGCTCTGTGTCAATTTACACAGTGTGGGAAAGTTCTTTGGACTTTTCCCACACTGTGTAATTTGATTCATAACACTCTGTAACCAATCAGAGGGTTATGAGTCAAATTACACAGCGTTTGGGGACCCCTAGTCACCGGGGGGGGGCATTTTTTTCTAGGGCCCCCACCCACTGCTCAGGGGTGGGGGCCAGGGGGGAGGACAATAGGTTCCCCCCTTATTAGTATTTAGGGTGGGGGCTCGGGAAGGGGGACCCTATTTTTTTTTTTTTTAAAACATTGAACAGCCTCAGGTTGCTCACTGTTTAATATACATTCCCCTACTTGGGGTATAGCGAGTAGGGGCAAAATTCACTAATACTAAGTAATTTTTACTAAGGATTAGTAAATTTGGCTGAAAGACCAATTTAGGTATTTCAGTCTTTTGGTAGATAACTCCCTAATACTTATCTACTAAGTGTTGAAGTGTTGAAGTGTCAAAGTGCGAAAATCCCGAATTTCGGAATGACGAACCGAGTCGAAAATTTTCCCCATGCACATGCCTAGTCCTTGCTAGGACTTTTCCCGCTGAATCCTCCACGAACTGGAACAAGTTGCTGAGCAGTGAATAGCCCTTCCTCCTTCCAGTAACTAGGTGACAAGTAGTACTCTGCCTTTTATGTACAGACCCCATGTTGTGCCTAATCATTAAAGTCATGAATATCAAAAAGCAATAAACAATTACCCCAAGGTTTTTAAAGATATTGGTGGGCACCAAAACCCTATTCTGGATGAGTGAATTGAGTATTTGAAAAAGGGAAAAACACATAGAAACATAGAAACATAGAATGTGACGGCAGATAAGAACCATTCGGTCCATCTAGTCTGCCCAATTTTCTAAAAACTTTCATTAGTCCCTAGCCTTATCTTATAGTTAGGATAGCCTTATGCCTATCCCACGCATGCTTAAACTCCTTTACTGTGTTAACCTCTACCACTTCAGCTGGAAGGCTATTCCATGCATCCACTACCCTCTCAGTAAAGTAATACTTCCTGATATTATTTTTAAACCTTTGTCCCTCTAATTTAAGACTATGTCCTCTTGTTGTGGTAGTTTTTCTTCTTTTAAATATAGTCTCCTCCTTTACTGTGCTGACATCAAGTACTTGTAAATAATCAATACAAACTTTATTGACTAACAATGACTTAATTAATAATCATTCAGCTTAACATTCAGCTTAAAGGAACAGCTCAAAGAAACAGCTTAATACAAAAATAGCTTAATAATACATCACTAGTGATGTCGCGAACACAAAATTTTTGGTTCGCAAACCGCGAACGAGAACTTCCGCAAATGTTCGCGAACCGGCGAACCGGGCGAACCGCCATAGACTTCAATGGGCAGGCGAATTTTAAAACACAAAAGGGACTCTTTCTGGCCACAATAGTGATGGAAAAGTTGTTTCAAGGGGACTAACACCTGGACTGTGGCATGCCGGAGGGGGATCCATGGCAAAACTCCCATGGAAAATTACACAGTTGATGCAGAGTCTGGTCTTAATCCATAAAGGGCATAATCACCTAACATTCCTAAATCACAATGGATATGGATTGACACCTGACATATGACATATTGACACCTTGACATATGGATTCACACCTGTCCTCAGAGACCCTGATACACACTGACACAGAGCAGAATAGGGACTGTTCCCCCTACATAGGGTCACTTGGCAGATATGGATTGACACCTGTCCTCAGAGCCCCTGATACACACTGACACAGAGCAGAATAGAGACTGTTCTCCTACATAGGGTCACTTGGCAGATATGGATTCACACCTATCCTCAGAGATCCCTGATACACAGACTGACACAGAGCAGAATAGGGACTGTTCCCCCTACATAGGGTCACTTGGCAGATATGGATTGACACCTGTCCTAGGATCCCTGATACACACTGACACAGAGCAGAATAGGGAATATTCACTAAATGCCAAACATTGTTATACAGGGGAATATTCAGTAAATAAGGATAAGGGGGACCTACTGTCCTGGCCCCCACCCCTGCACGGTGGGTGGGGGCCATAAATCTCAATGGGGGGGACCTACTGTCCTCCCGCCCTCCCCCACCCGTGAGCGGTGGGTGGGGGCCATAAAAATAATGAGGGGGGGGACCTACTGTATGATGTTGTATCGATCAGGTAGTGTAAGGGTTACGCCCGCTTCACAGTGACAGACCAAACTCCCCGTTTAACGCACCGCAAACAACCGCAAACAGTCCATTTGCACAACCGCAAACTCCCCATTTGCACAAGGTTGGATACCAAGCTAGCCATGTCCCGTTCCTTGTCCTCACTGATGTCATTGAAGGTCTCTCCCTCCACCCAGCCACGTACAACACCAAGGGTCCCCGAAAGGTGACAACAAGCCCCCTGGGACGCCTGCTGTGTTTGGTCTTCCACTTCCTCAAAGCCACCTTCCTCCTCTGACTCCTCTTCTTCAGACTCCTCTCTCTGCATTGCCTCTCTCTGCGTTATTATAAGGTGTGTTAAGTAGTATTATTCCTATCAGTTTAATCCCTGTTACGTCCCCTATCAGGGGACGTGTATATGGCATTCGATTTTAGGAACCGGGAGATGGAAAAAGATGCTTGGTCGGTCCTCCTACTTCAAATTTGGGGCACTGCGCGTGCAATCTAATGTGTCACCAGATAGGAGTGGTGTGTTAAGTAGTACTATTCTTATCAGTTTAATCCCTGTTACGTCCCCTATCCGTTGATGTGGAGCAAGACTATCTAAAAATCTAGCTCTATTCTCATAACTATCTCGTGAAGCTATGCATGACTGTGTTTTGTGGTTATTAACATTTTCAGTACTGTGTACCGGCGCCATCGTGACTATCTATAATAGTTTGATTTGCTCAATAGTGATCAATCAATCATTCCTAATTAATATGGAATAATATTATCACATTCCATCCCTTTCTCACTCAGTGAGCAAAATCTCACACATTTAGACATACCATTCAGGTTATCAGCCGGGGGAAAGCCCATTTACCGACTGATTCCCATATTGCTCCATTTACACCTGGAACCAATTCAAGCAATAAAGCTGTCCGAGTCGAGGGTCACCTAAGTTAGACAGTTTTAAACAGGATAAACCTGTAGCTTAAGCTTTATGACATACCTCTTCCCTCTTAGGATATACCTCTTCTAGTTCCATACTAGTATTACATTTCTTTATCTAGCCATTCTTTGAGTGCAGTAAATTGTAATTTTATAGCACAGATAAATGCAAAGTATAATAAAAATACACCACGCAATTCCTTTTATTATTTTCAAGGTGTCAGGGGTGCTTTTAGTGCAGTAGTATGTTGCACCACTATCCTCTATAATAGTGTAGGTTCGCTTTTTGCTCTGTTAGTTTGCATAACTTAATACCCAATATTGGCTAAGCTCGACGGCAGTTATTACACATTAGCTCTGTCTCCTGTTCTCTTGATGATCCCCTTACCTTGATGGGTAGAGTTTGATAAAAGGATATACTTATGAGCCACTTAGGCATCCATAGCAATTCAGATGTTTGATAACCATGCATGGATTATAGACAGACCAGTTACCGATCAGGGTGATATGAGCAATATGAACTAATAGACATACTATTTTGCTATACACTAGTTTTCCGGTTCTCTGTTCGATAGCATCAGGACTTTGTCTCTTTTCTCTACTTTATCTATACCAGGTGCTCTTGAAGGCACCTTTCCAACTATTTTTACATTTTTATTTTTTATACAGTTTTGTAAACTTAGCACTTCGGGTTCTTTATTGAGGTAACCAGCATATTACTGCCGGTTACACTCAATAGATTGACAATTCGATCTTCTTAATACCGGTGACCGGTGAACGGACTGTATGGGTATAGGCAGGTTATTTAATTGCCACTATATAGACTAGGCTTATTCCGACAGCTTCTTTTAAGCGGTATCCCCACAGGCTGTAGCTATTTATATCGTGTTAGTTACTTTTTTTGACACATTGACACAATACTGTATTGGATCTGTTTATGATACTGTGACGAAGTGCCCTTTGTCACTTGTGCCTGGAGAGGACTAATTGCCAGCCTCCTGCCCTGCGACTATGGCCCCTGGAAGATTTTGCC